TGAGATTGCCACCTGTATAAAGGAATACTCAGAATGGTTCTAAAGGATCACAATGAGGCATTACTGTTTATACAATTCCTCAAAAATAAGTACAAATGGCTTAGCAATAATATTCCACTCAAGACGAGAACGTGTACCTATTCAGGTGGCATTGAAACTCTGTATTAACATACATGTCCAGACCTACATGGGCACCAGTACACATTTCCAAGCAGTTGCAATGCTCATTTATTTTAGAAGTAGTGCTGTCTGTTCATACATTCACCAACTTTGACTGCCTGAAGTCTGAGTCTGTTCTACCAATCTACCTCGTGGAAAGCATTGTAATCAGTACTATGTCCGTTAGTAATATATAACATTGCAGTTAGACCCTAGGAATCACTTGCAGTCCTGTAGCTCAGTGGTTAAGAGTACACGCCTCGCAAGCGAGAGGACCAGGGTTCGATTCCCAGCAGGGCGAAACATTGGTCAAGTTTTCTACTCCACACACCTCTGTTTACCCAGCAGTAAGTAGGAACCCGGTTGTCAGCCGATTGGGGGGAATCGCTTTTTCAGGGGTAATAATCCCTTCAAACTAAAAATAATAATAATTTAGTCACTCAAATCCACAGCTGTTTGTGGGGATGCTGCTGTGCGCAATTGGCTGCCACGTTTCGCTCACAAAATATACAGTCACTACACTTTACAGTATATTCTGTGAAGCGCTTTGAGAAATCTCGAAGACGTGATTAAGTGTTATATCAAATGCAAGGATTATTATTATGTTTAATGCCTCAGCAATCAATAGGGTACACGAGATTGTACTAATCTAGATACTGGAGTTGAATCATCACGATCCAAAGCCACAGGTATCCTATAATTTTCCTAAAAATTTGTGGAATCCCAATGAAAACTAGACAAAAGGTTCCTAGCTGCCAGAAGAAACATCTTATTTCCCAAGTCATGAGTTTGCTGAACCTGCTCAGATTCTGACTTTTGATAATCAACATAGCATGTCAAACTCTGAGATGGATATAATGCTCAGCGACATCATCCTATTTTGAGAAGCAGACGGGTTGAGTTGGTTGGGGGGGGAGGAAACAAGGCCTGAGAAGATTAAAAGCAAGGTACAGATGAATCATTCAGTGCATTTCATCTCTACCTTTCAGAACACCCACCCGATTGTCTTCTCAATACAACAAAGTGGTTTCTTACATGAGTGAGTGCCAGACCCTGACCTCAAATACCATTCCTTGTAATCCTTTCGGGGCACAAATTAACTTCTGTGAACCTAATCTGACCACCCAGTTTAAAGCTCCATCTCGATCAGCCACTCAAAACCAAGTGTGATTGAATTGGCACTTTCTGTCTGGCCAGCACAGAATATTGATAGCAGCGCAGTGTTAACACTCTGCAAGAATCTTCTTAAGTAAGGTCGTCTTCAGTGGTCAGATCTCAAGACCTTGGATTGAGTGAAGTACATTTCATATTTTATAATGAAAGCAAGTTATGGCATCAGCTCCCGGGAATCAGATGTCAAGAAAACAAAAGGTCAGAAAACAGAGCTAACTTTTATCCGCTTATGCGAGTCCAATACTGAATTTGAGCAAGTTTCAGCTGAGGTAACGCTGATATCCAAGAGAAAGATTACTGAAAATGTTTGAAAGTTCACCTCCAATAAAATTACATAATCTAACAGTTAATTGCTCACTAAATTACATATTCTAGAAAAACGTACTAAGTGGCATAAGTCAACTTTCCATTATCTGCTGATTCAATTGAGAACAGACTTTTACATGTAATATTCACCCTGCCCAAATAACGACACAATGGCACAAATAGGCCATTAACACTATTACATTTTAGATTTCCATTTATACAAAAAGCATCATTACCCAACAACAACAAATTACATTTGCACAGCACCCTTAATAATAATAATCCTTGCATTTGATATAGCGCTTTTCACGTCGGGAGGACGTCCCAAAGCGCTTCACAGAATATACTGTAAAGTGAATTGACTGTATATTTGTGGGCGAACACGGCAGCCAATTGCGCACAGCAATGTCCCACAAACAGTCATGGATTGAAAATGACCAATTTATTATTGTTTTTGGAGGGATTATTATTAGGCTCTGTGTGGAGTAAGGAAACTTGCCCAAGGTTTCGCCCTCTGCCTGGAATTGAACTCAGGTCTCTCACTTGCAAAGCGAGTGCTCTAACCACTGAGCTACAAGACTCCACATGTCAGGATGACATCCCAAGTTGCTGGACAGTCAGAAATTTAGACCTGAGGTCGGGGTTGGGATCAGGAGGGGTTGAGGGCAGGGAGGGTGAGGGTAGGAGGGTGATCAAAGGTGAGATCGAAAATGGGCCTTCAATGACGCAAGGGAGGAAGCAAGGTGGACTTTGGGATAGATTCCAAAGGGTGGGGGCTGCTGAGCGGAGGGGGCAGTCAGATTTATTTGGGGTTAGCATGTCGCAGAAGTAGGCTGTGGAGAGCTTTGAAGACAAGGACCAGGATTTTGAACTCTATCAAAAGATAATCAAATAGAATATAGAAAGTACAGAGAACTGAAAAAGGAAATAAGAGGGGCAAAGAGATTGTATGAGAAAAGATTAGCAGGAAACATAAAAGGTAACCCTAAGGTATTTTATAAGCATGTAAAGAATAAAAGATTAGTCAAAGGATGGGTGGATCCAATTAGGGACCAAAGAGGAAATCTTCTTGTGGAGGCAGAGGGCACGGCTGACGTAATGAATGAGGACTTTGTATCTGTCTTCACAAAAGAAGAGGATGCAGCCAATGCCACAGTGTCAGAGGAGAGAATTGGATAGGATAAAGATAAGAATAAGGTACTAAAAAGAGAGGAGGTACTAAAAAGGTTGACGGTGCTCAAAGTAGATAAGTCACCCGGTCCGGACAGGATGCATCCTAGGTTAGTAAGGGTGGAAATAGGCTCTGGCCATAATCTTTCAATCCTCCTTGGACACCGGGGTGGTGCCAGAGGACTGCAAGGTTGCAAATGTTACTCTACTGTACAAAAAGGGGGAGAAGGATAAACCCGGGATCTACAGGCCAGTCATCCTAACGTCAGTAGTGGGGAAACTTCTACAGACTGTAATCCAGGACAAAATAAATTTTCACTTTGAAAAATATGGGTTAATAAAGGACAGCGAACGTGGGTTTGTTAAAGGCAAATCATGTCTTAGAAACTTGATAAAGAGTTTTTTGATGAAGTAACGGAGAGGGTGGATCAAGGAGTTTATATGGATTTTCAAAAGGCGTTTGATAAAGTGCCACATAAGAGACTTATAAGCAAAATAGAAGCCCACAGTATTAAAGGGACAGTGGCAGCGGATACAGAACTGTCTGGGAGACAGAGAGCAGAGAGTGGTAGTGAACGGTTGTTTTTCTGACTGGAGGGAGGTGTGCAGTGGTGTCCCCCAGGGGTCGGTATTGGGGCCACTGCTGTTTGTGATCTATATAAATGTCCTGGGCTTGCGTATAGGGAGGACAATTTCCAAGTTTGCAGATAATACAAAGCTAGGAAGAGTAGTAAACAGTGAGGAGGATAGTAGCAGACGGCAAATGGACATAGACAGACTGGTAACGTGGGCAGACACGTGGCAGATGAAGTTTAATGTGGAGAAATGCAAAGTGATGCATTTTGAGAGGAAGAATGAGGAGAGGCAATATACGCTGATGGTACAATCTTAAAGGGGTGAAGGAACAGAGAGACCTGGGGGTCATATACGTAAATCTTTGAAGGTGGCCGGACAGGCAGATAAAGCTGTTAAAAAAGCATCCGGGATACTAGGGTTTATAAATAGGGCATAGAATACACAAGTCAGGAAGTTAGGATGAACCTTTATAAAACACTGGTTAGACCTCAGCGAGAGACTGTGTTCAGTTCTGGGCACCAGTTTAGGAAGGATGTCAAGGCATTGGAGAGGGTGCAAAGGAGATTTATCAGAATGGTTCCAGGAATGACGGACTTTAGTTATCAGGAGAGGCTGGAGAAGCGAGGATATTCTCCTTGGAGCAGAGAAGGTTAAGAAGAGACTTAATAGTAGTTTTCAAAATTATGAAGAGATTCGATAGGATGAACAAGGAGAAACTATTCCCACTGGCGGGTGGGTGGGTAACCCGAGGACACCGATTTAAAATAGTTGTTAAAACAGAGGGAGGTGAGGAGATATGTTTTCACACAGTGAGTTGTTGGGATCTGGAATGCATTGCCTGAAAGGCTGGTGGAGCCAAATCAATAATAGCGTTTAAGAGAGTAGATAATTATTTGGAGAGGACAAGTTTGCAGGGCTATGGGGAGAGCGCGGGGGAGTGGGATTGAATTGGAAGCTCTTTTCAAAGAGCTGGCACAGACATGATGGGCCGAATGGCCTCCTTCTGTGCTGTATAATTGTATGATCCTCTGGGGGCTGGGGAGCCAGTGGAGCCAGGTGAGGATGGGTGTGATGGAGTCACGGAGCCTGGCGCAGAAGAGGACACGACCTGCATAGTTCTGAATGATCTGCATTAAGGTCACCTACTCCTTGAGATTTGCGGTTTGTAAACTAACACTGCGTAACTGGAGCATGACTCTGTACCTTGTGTATTTTGATTATGAAACCAGATACAAGGAGATTAGGAATAATTTAAAATGTTCACTTCAAATCAACATAGTGCTCAACAGCAATTCAATATCAGACAAACACACGGCAAACTAATGTCAAATTTAAATAGCCCTCAACAGTTAGAAATTGTATCTTTTAAAAAAAAACTAGTGCCTTCCTTAATACTTCAACATGCCCGTCACCAACGTTTATTCTTGAACGTGCCCATCACCATGAGTTTCATGCAGTTTAGTGCATGATATTAAGTGCTGTTAGCATTTGTGTTCAGCAAAACACCCAGCAAGTTTTCTAAGTGAAAGTAAGCAAGCATTCAATGCTGGTAGACTGGCACAGATGCAATTGTACAAGGTTACAATTAAACTCCAAATCACCACATAGACACAATATATTTTTCATGCCATTTTAATGGTTGTGCCACAAGCATTTTATTTTGTTTACGTCATTTGTTAACAAATGTTTTAAGCTTCATTCTGCCAGCATCAACATGTTATGCTGTTGACTTTGGTCAGATCATAACGACAAACAATTAACAGTTCCCAAAACACATCACTGAAGTAGCATACATGCAAAATCAAAAACCACCACAAAAAGATGGAATTTCAAGCAAAAATGCAAACTAGATCATTAAATATTCTTACTTATATTCAATGCTAAGTACAAAATAGGAGTTAGAAAATTTTTAACAGGTTAATACTCCATGAAGTTAGAAGCCACTAAATAGCATTCGTTTAAACAGAACATTTCTGCCTAGAGTAAGTAGGGCAATCTCTACTTAAGATTCAAAAGTAAATATGCACAAAGCAAAATGTTACAGAAAAGTGCATTAATAGATTTGTAATACAAACAAAACTCCAAAACAAAAGTCAGAAGGTCCTGTACTGTGGTCCCATGAAAGTAAACTCCACATATGGCATAAACAGTATAGATGCCATAAGAAGCAGCAAACTATTAAACAAAACAACGTATGCAGCAAAGTTCCTTCAAGGATATTCTCAAAAATCTTTTGCTTCCCCATGAAAGCTGATCCATTTTCATTAAATACGAGGGAAGATTTACTTGTTATCCAATCGCAGTAGCTGCTCCTTACCATTTATTGTTAAAGATCTCAATTGACCATCTTCTTCTACTTCCACTCTTTCTTGGCCATTTTCTATAATTCTGTAAATTAAAAAAAATCAGTCATGATTACAACAACAAATGACATTTGTACACCGCATTTCACACTGGGAGGACGTCCTAAGGCTCTGGACAGTGAGGGATTTGACTTAAAAGGACATGCGGAATCTGCCAGAATACAAGTATTGAAAATTGATAAAACATGGTTTTGNTTTTTTATTCCTGCCATTATTTTCACCTCGTATCCTGAAGGCATTTGACTCATTTTCCTTCCACTAGGGTGTGTGCCAGTAACCCTCCAGTACGTTGCTCAAGTCATCATTAATCATGTGTGAGCTTCCACAGCGAGTGTGGGCAAGCTAACCAAACACAAGCTAATTTGCACAGGAATGTACAAGGCGAAGTAAAATTGTAGTCCATTTGGGTCAAACTAATTTATTCTTTTAAAAATTCTACAAGACTCGTGACCCAAACTCCTGAATGGATTTTTTTTATCAAACAGCTGAATTTGCTGATAATCTGCCTATTACTGTGTCTGAAGAGTAAACCATTCCAACTTGAGCGGACTGTGTAAGACACCCGAGGAAAAGGCACAATCTGACCTTTAACGGATCATCTTTCAGGATAAACAATTGTGGGAAAACATCCAACACTGCTTCCAATTAACAGCTTCCTAAATTCTCAACAAGAAGCTCAAGCTGCACAGAAATGAAATAGTACAATCTGACGAGAATAAAACTACAATATTACCTCTTTAAGAAATTTTATGGCTCGAGCCTCTGGCGTGTGAAACTGAACCATGCAGAATGGGAAGGTCATTAAATGTTAGAATGATGGTGTCTGTACGGGCAGGGTTAGCTCCCCTACTCAGGGTTGGATTAACCAATAAAACAGGTATCGTATGCCTTAGTGCCCCAGGGTCTATGCGGCTCCTCGACACCCTCTTAGCTGCACCTCTCTTCCGCTCAGTCACGAGGCAGTGTGGAGAGTGACGGCAAGATACTCCACATCACCTCAGCCCAGTCGTTTGCTCCAAACGTAAGTAAGTACCAATAATAGTTTATCTTTATCCATTTCAATGTTAGTAACCTTTGCTGACGGCGATTGAGTGCCAGGATTTGGAATCAGGCCTACCATATAAAATGAGTTTGACAACCCTGGCCTAGGTAGAGTCTAAAGTCCTCATATGGGTCATGAGCCCATGAGCTTCCAAGAGCGATACCGAATGAGCCAGAATGACACCTATCCTAACAACCAACTCTTCCAAGCTTCCTTTTTTTCCTTCTGCCCAACAGTCTGGAAGGATTTAATGAAAAACTCTTTGACAAAAATATACTGTAAGGTTTGTATTTCTTCATGTGCCATACATCAAAAGGATATTTTGACTTCTACCCGCCCCTTGTCATATAGTCCATGGGCTGCATGTCTTGGTAATTCACCACACAGGGAGAGAGGATCACTAGCGTAGTTGTCACAAGAGCCAATGCTCGTTGAGGGGGCCGAACTGCACTTGTCACTTTGCCCACCACTGGATGCCAAACATACTCTGATCTGACTTCTCAGTAACAGCAGATATTGTGCCAGCAATCAATCTGCAAGAAGGTTGCACATGAACAAATGCGAGCCAAAGATTGTTCACTGTTTGAGACTTAGAAAATGCAACTCTACATTTGCAAGCGAAATACTAAAAATCTAGTTTGATGTTGTTAGAAAAAGTTGTTTGAACAAGTTCTTATATTTTTATGGGAAATCAAATGAATTCCTGCACTGACTATTAAGTCAATATAGTAAGTCAATGTTTATAATACCTCTTAGTGGAGATTTTCCTTCCATTAACAAACTTGGTAGATGTTGATACTGATCGAAAATTCCCCATGCCTCCATTTCCAAATGAAGAGGAGCTGAATGAAGCAGTTCCAAGATTACCAAAAGAACTGAATGAAGTAAAGCCTGGAAAAACAAGAAATATTCAATAAGCTTACATGACTTACTAATAAAATGGATATCATTTCAAACAGTATTTATTTGGCTTATGACACTGGAACCCCATTACACAGCACTTCTTACAACACTGGCTTCCTTGTAACTAGGGCTGCAGATTTGACACGGCATTTTTTTTGTCCAAAATGCTCACAGAGCAGTCATGGTAAATCAGAGCAGTCAGTGCATGTGGTGGGTTTACGAGGATATGCTGGGAGAAATCACGGTACGGAAATTTAACTATACCTCTTTAAAAAAAATCTTCAGATTGCAGTAGAAATGTAAAACCACCGGCAAACTGAATCACTTCAAAGTGCTATACCAAGAGGAACATCAATGACCAGGAAGCAAAGGAATTTGAGAGCACTGACCAAAGCCCAGAATGTGACTCCAAAGTCTCAACATGGGGCTTGAACCAACAGCCTTCTGATTGCAACCAACTGAGCCAAGCTGACACTTTATTAAAAAGGGAGGTTTTAAGGCAAAAAATGTAAATAGTTATTGTCATCATCAGTACTTGAAACAAAAGATCACTCAATGTTGTTTGATAGCTGGTTCACATTGTTTGATAGCTGCTGACACCAGGATACTGACTTGGCAAACTGCTAACTTGACATCTCCTCGGTGTTGAGTAGTCATTAACCCAGCAATGCTTCAGCTTCTGTGGTTTTATGCTTAGTAATAAGCAGCTATTCCTAGCAATCAACACAGTTTAAAACTAGAGAAAAAGCTGAAGCACAGTTGGCAAGAGTCTGAATAAGCTGGAAGAAGGAAAAACTGAAATTCTAGAGAATTCAGAAGTCACTCACACAACCCTAAAATCAAGTGAAAGTACAGCACAAAGCCTTCATTCCCATTATGCCTAGAAAATGATGACCTGTGGCCCGAGGCTTGGAGAAATGTTGACTTGATTGGTTACTGCATCTCATTTTAAAATGTGCGTCACCGTGAAGTTGATTGATTGTACTGTTTTGCTTGTAAACATTTACAAAAGNTTTTTTTATTCTTACCAGGGTCAAACGCAGGGAAGCCACCAAATCCAGGGAAGAATGATCCCCCACCTCCCCGGCTTCTTTCAACCCCATGCCGACCTCGCCTATGTCCAAAAAAGTCATCGAAGGGATCATCCACTGTAATGTAGATTTACAAATTAGGTTAGCCTCACAATACAAAACTGACATCAAGGGAGTCCAAGCCACCTCAAAGAAGCTTTAGTGCTGTAATGGAGCTCTTAATTGAGCTTGGCAGATATTTCCCCCAGAAAATACTGTCATACACTTTACAATGTACACTGTAAAGCTCTTTGAAACGTCATCCTGACATGAAAGTAGTGATATCAAAATGTAAGGATTATTATTAAATTACTGAATTCTTATATTCTAACATGTTGCCACATGTAGAAAAGGGGCAGAAGTGTCCCCCTATCCCTCAAGAGAAATTGTCAGGAATTGGCCCAGTACACCCCCAATTTACCTGGAACCAGATTATAATAATAATATTCCTTGCATTTGATATAACGCCTTATAATAATAAATAATAATCACGTCTTTGAGACGTCTCAAAGGGCTTCACAGAGTATATTGTAAAGTGCACTGACTGTATATTTTGTTGGAGAAACAGCTGCCAATTGCACACAGCAGTGTCCCAAAAACAGTCGTGGATTGAAGTGACCAACTTATTATTTTTTTGAAGGATTATTAGCCCCAAAAATGCAATCCACCAATCGTCTAACAACCGGGTTCCTACTTATTGCTAGGTAAACAGAGGTGTGTGGAGTAAGCAAACTTGCCCAACATTTCTCCCTGTCGGGAATCAAACCCAGGTCTCTCGCTTGCGATTGATTGATTGGGCAGAAAGCAATTATATGAACTTTCTACATCTTTCTAATAGATCGATTTCAAGATGCTTACCCTCACCTGCAAATCACTTCATGTTTTAGCACCTTCCTACCTCTCCAACCAACTCGTACCCCACTCCTTCACCCACCGACCTTTGGAGGACACTGGTCCAGACCTCTGGAACTTCCTACCTCAATTCCTCCATCTCGCCCCCTCTCTGTCACATTGTACCTGAAGACTTTCCTCTTCGACTGTGCCTACCATTACCCCTCCTTCTCCCCAGCTCTCCATTAATCTGTGCTATTGTTCAGCATTCCAAGACGCTACCTATTACGTGGAATGCAACATAGTTCAAGTTCTAGTAGTACATGAGGCATACATGTAAAATGGGTCCCCCCATAAAGGCAAATGGGATTGTTTGGGTAGGGGCATTGTATTTGATAGAATACAGAGCACTGTCCGAAAGGATGATAATTGCTTATTTCAGTTTCTTCATATAGTGCTAAGATTCCAGCTCATGAATGCTTTGAGCACCCAAAAAAAAGGCAGAAAAACAGAAACATTTAGATAATGCATAACGGACTCAAGATGTAGTCTGAGAGAAAGTGTTACTCACTGAAAAAGTCTGCAAAAGGATCCCGGCCTCCAAAGAACTCCCTGAAAACGTCTTCAGGGTTACGGAATGTGAAGCCAAAGTTATAGCCACTGTTATATTGGCCACCTAGAGGGGAAAGAAAGTCCATAAATCATCATGATTTCACACCGCACATACCACCATTTGCAGCCATTAATTAAAAGGAACAACAAGTACATAATCTCCAGAATTTGTAGTTAGTTTTTTTCTGTTCAATAACAATTTTTCTTTAGTTTCAAAGCCAAATACAGTGGCAGCCAGATAAGTCGGAGACATCAAGGACGGACGTTTGGTCTGGCTTAAAGAGGTATTTGGGGGTAACCAAAATACCATTCCCGCTCAGCAGGGGATCCCTGCCAACACAGTGTAATAATGTTGTTTCAATTGAAGCAATGTTAACTAATCAAACACTACACCAAGTATTTAACCTAGGAGTTAAAAGTTAAAAACCTGTACCTCACAGAATTGGACTGCTTACTTACCTCCACCGATATTTGTTAAGCCATCTTTTCCATAACGATCATAGACATCACGTTTGGAGACTATATATAAAACATATTTAGTATCAAAGAAATTCAAGTCTGCATCGATTCTATAAGCCATATTCAGTATTAGATATCAGGTAAACATTCAAAGAAAGCAACTTATAATTACAATGACTAGAGAGGAAGGACAATTTTAGAGAAATATGTAAAATTAAATCACGAATGGCTCATTAGACAATACAATGTATGTGTGGAGCCACTTGTGTCATATAAACATTTAGAATCTCCAACATTAAGTTTCTTTTTCTTTTCTTCATTGTATTGCTGTAGCGGTTTGAAAGTAATAGATTTATTTTAACAATAACTGGCTTTAAGGTAATTATAAATAACAATGGCAAAGCTGTACTGCTAAATGATCATGTTTTGGATTCACATCAAATTTTGGCAAGGCTTAAACCCCAGGTCTACCATTCCACACTTCTGAACCTACCAGTTGGCAAAAGTGCCCACATTTTAAACCAAGATAAACATCGCAGGTTACTATAGGAGCAACTGAACATATGGAAACACTGTGTCGCGCCCAGTTACCCAGAAACATCACCTCAACTGAGTTCTATGTGTAAAGCTATTCTTAAGTAAAATATGTATATTTTACGACTATAATTAGAGAGCTCAGTGTTGCATCCTAGAAAAGTGATTTTTTCAGCCAGGAACTTTCTCATCTAGTTTAATCCTTCATTTCAGGAAGATTAATCTTTCAAATAATTCCCTGCAACGGAGTTTCCTCATTTTCATTTCCCATTTGATTTACCCAACCACTTTCACAGCCCAAAGAGCAGTTGCAATGACTACTAATAATGTTCACACAGATTACTGAAGGATATACAAAATAAATGATTTATCTGCTTCTTTTAGACCCACTTGAATGGTTTAAGACTTTAAAATATTAAAAAGGAGAACCCTTGACAAGCCTAGTTTTGTAACAATATAATAGTCACTTGAACTAAACCAAAGTACATTTCAGTGAACTGCAGCATTTCCTGAAGCACTCAGAAGTCCAGTTGCATTTGCATGTATTACACTATAGGATTACAATTATATTGTACGCCCGATTTGCAGATGTATTAAGACACTTCAATGCAATCTTCAGTATCAACTACAGTAGATTTCAATCAATAGTCTTGTTTTTTTACAAGTCAGGTAATGGAAGTGGAAATTGAGATGAATCAACGGTAAGAGTCATGATCAACAGTAATAAACAGAAATATGAGCATTAATTGAGATGATATCCTTGTTATCCATCAGAAGTTGGATTGCCCTTAGTTTAAATGTTAAGGCAAAACATTTGCAAATAGTATCACTTACCATCTGAAAGAACTTCATATGCTTCTGAAATTTGCTTGAACTTTGACTCTGCCTCGTCCTTGTTGTCGGGATTCTTATCTGGGTGCCATTTCAGCGCTGATTTGCGATACCTTGTGTGAAGAATACACTACAAGTCAGTGACAATCCGGGTACAGTGGATTCCAGTTATAAGACAGCAGTGCATAAAATTCCAGCCCACATTAAAACAGGGCTACAATACGTGGTGAGCACTACTGCATTCACAGTGCATCTACACAGCTGGCAATCTCACTCCCAATTTTAGAACATCAGTTGTACACAGGATGTTGCTGACAGCAATCTGATGACCTGGGAGTCAGCCATTGCTTAGCCTGGTAGCCAGCTGGCACTGGCCGACTGCATGCATGTATAGTGACAAGGGTCAACCGATTCACATCAGTGAACCTACGTTCGTTCCATTGTCTAAAACAATCCACCTATAGATCTTGAGGGCAAAACTCAACAGATTGCAATCACCCAGTGCTTTTCAAGTCAAGAGGATGTCCCAAGGCCCTGCTCAGTCAAGGATTTGCACCAGAGTTGGGGGTTGGAGTCTTGAGGGATGGATGGCAAGGTGATTGGAGTTGGGAGGATGACCAAAGGTCATCCAAAGAGAAAGTTCTTGAGACAAGCCTCAAAAGAGGGCGGGGACATGGAACAGGCCAGTACCTGCCGAACACAGGGAGTGGATCCTTGGTAGTGTTGGAGTTGATCGCAGGGGAGGAGCAAGACCATGGAGGGATTTAAAAGTGAGGATAAGGAACTTGATCCTCTGGGGCAGGGTGGGTGGTCCAATCTTTTGGCTGCTGAGGGCCGGATGCCCTATTTGAGAACCATCTGTGGGCCGCATAAACAATATTTTTGTGTTTCCCTTCCAGAAACGTAACATTTCTACCTACGGAGAAAGCATTTGAGCCACATGAAATGGATTGGGGGGAGAGATAGACGAAGTGGGCGCACGGGCCACCATTTGGCCCACCCAGATCTAGGTGGATGGGGAGCCAAGGTTGGGGTAATCTGCTCTCAGAGCTTAGTTGGGGGATGACACAAATCTGCATCTTGTGGAGGAAAGAGTTGGGAAGCATAATAACATTTCTCTTTAATCCTCATTTAGATAGTTGATTCATGGTAAACTTGGTGCTTCTGTACACTGTCTTCTCTGCAATTCATTTTACATTAAATCACAATTTCCCTACTCGGAAAATAACCATTTGACAGCTACTCTTTCTCATCGAATAACACTTCATTAACAAACACTCTGCTATTCAAGACAGCTCGGATATATAAAAGATTCAATGGCAAGTGCAATCTGCTGGGCAAGACACATCTTAACAAAAAATAGCTTTGAGTTCATTTCTTTATAAGGATTTTTGATTTTCACCTCTTAAAAGGATTCTTGAACCACCTCTGAACGACCATAAAGACAGCCACTCAAAGGCCAAACGTTAGTGCAGTGAAAATGCTATTGTTCACAGCAGCATCATAGATAAATTAAAGTTCACTACAAAGTGCACCTAAGGGAAAGCAGCTAGTGATAGAAATAGGATGCATTATCTGCTTTATGTTCGATAATTGTGGTTCCACAGCATGCAATAAAACATATTTGCCAAGCCAAGGCTAAGTGAAAATGCGCCAAATCAAATTACATTTAATGATAGCATATAAAGTAATGATTGTTCGTTCACATAAAACAGTCACTTTACAGTGTATCCTGTGAAGTACTTTGGGAACACCAACCCGACGTGAAAGGAGCTATAATCAAATGCAAGGATTATTCTCATTTGCAGCAAATAGTTGAACAATGCAAACAAAGAGAATTTAAACATAGTACCTGATGATTGTGAGGGTAAATCAGTATCTTTCCTTGTATTAATTATTGCACAAGAAATCTGCATGTCAGGATTCCTGATACTTTACTGACCCAGATTTTCAAGGAATAGCTCCAAAGTACAATGCATTCCATACAATTGCATGGAGTTGGGACCAGACAGATGCCATGCAATTATATGGCACATACAATGACTCAAAGTTCTATTAACATTGGTTCCTAACTATATTTATAACAAACCAACAGCAAATATGAATTCCTCAGAGAAACAAAGAGACTAAGCAAATCGCTTACAAGTAAATCTAAGCAATACAAGTTACAGCATTATTATAAGACACATGCAGATTTAGGAAACTGATGGAACTATGCATATTTCATATTCTTCATTCCGTCGACAACATACAAACAGAACAGAACTGGTAGGGAGAGCCATACATGCTCAGACCTGCTTGAAGCACAGTTATGCCAAATCATTCATTATCTCAAAGTGCCAGGTCAAGGTAATATGACTTAATGACAGTAGGTTAATAACTCAAGAGAGTGGTGCCTTGCAGATAAACCTTCCTGCACAAGAATGAGCTTCAACTTATTTTTGGTGAACATAGGATGCCCTCCTGACACTTACTGACTTATAACCAGTTTGGTGAATTGCCAGAAACTGACTGGCAATTTTACTTAGGCACGCATCACTATTTTCAGGAGCAAGGAAAACATTTTACACTTTGCACCTTTTTGATGAAAAATAACAGATACTGGAGGATTATTTTAACAGAATTTGTCAATACAGGATTCATCTAGTTTTATGTAACAGCAAAATGACTTGGCCTCAATAATCCATTTGCAAAGAACACACAATTCCAAATTAAGTAATTGAAAGGAAATGCTTCATTTTAAGTGTTTGAGGTAGCGGAAAACATTAAAGATCAAACTCAGGAGCAGAAACTGGCCTAGCTGGATTAAAAAAGCAGGCAAGATGAGCAGTAGCATCATCTCATCACTAGATGTCACAACATTTTATAATTTCAAAGTATGAAGTACTAAATTATAGAACTTGCAGTGTAGGAAGATACCTGACCCACCCAGTCCATGTTGAAGATCGCTAGACAATTTACATTAAATACAGCGGTGCCTTTCCTGCCAGGAATGTGCCTTAAAGCACTTACCCAGTTCGCTGCGAGGGGATTTAGCAGAGTCATTGGTTCTACTTAAAAAGGCAACAACTTCCCAAATTTAAATAAAATGAAGACATTTGTTTTACACTTCAATTTAATGTTGTAAAATTTAATGGCAAACAGACTCAAGCACTCTTCTCCACTGTCTCTCCTCTCAGCTCCACCTTCATGGTTTTGTCTTTGCCTGGTTTCACTCTTACCTTTCCCACCATCTCCACTTTGTTATTTGCTAACAGCTTCCTCCTCCAGCCCCTCGCACCATCGTGTTCCTCAGGGGCCAGTCATTGGTCCTCTCTCTACACTTTAATATCTACATGCTCCCACTCGGTGATATCATCTGCAGCCATGGGGTTAACTTCCACATGTACTAAATTGGTCATAGCAACTCCAAGTCTATTGTACTGCTTAAATTACGTTGGTTCACACAACTGTCCAAAGTACTTACGCTTTTTTGATTTCTTCTGGAGATGAATTCTTTGATACTCCTAACACTTGGTAATAATCCACCATCTTTCCAATTTAGTTCAAAATGGAAAACCCTGCAATGGTAAAAGTTACACAACTTAAATTTTGCTCAAATAATTCAACACAAGTCCAAACAGTCCGAGTACACACCTTATAATATCACATAATCATATAACAGTCATATAATTGTGTGATGCCTGCTCACATGCATCAGTCCAAAGTTTAATAACTGTTCTTAAGAAATCTACACAGTTAGTCTACGCAATTCCAATTTTTCACATGTTGAATCACTCTGCCTCACAAAAAACAATATTTTAGCAACCAACGGAATGGATTTTTTGCCTAGCAATAAGATCAAGTTTTGTGGAGGTTACAAAGCTTTATTTAAAAAAACACTGGAAAGAAGAATCTAGTTCTGCAGCTGCTCCATTGTTGTAAAATGAACATTGTTCACTGTTCTTTCATGTACATGATTATAATAATCCTTGCATTTATTTGATAGCATCTTATTAGGTCATCGTGATGTCTCAAAGTGCTTCACAGGTTATACTGAAAGTGGATTGACAGTGTATTTTGTGGGCAAAACACAGAAGCACAATTGCGCACATCAATATCCCATGGGAGAAACGCCATTCTGTTTTCGAATAGTAGCATGCAATCCTTAATGTCCACCTGAACAGGGAAACGGGACCTCGATTTAACATATCAGCAGACAGATGGACTCTCTAACAAAGCAACACACCTCCAGCACCACACTGGAGTGTCAGCTTAGACTATGTGATTCCATGTCCTAACGTGGCGCTTGAAACCAGAACCTGCTGACTCAGAGGCCAGAGTGCTTTCAAGCCAAGTAACACTTCTTAAATTAAATTAGGGACGAAATGAGGTACTGTAAGATACCAAATTTCTATTTGGAAATAAATACTTTCAGTTGTGTCTGAAGTAAATGCATGTTTATTATGTCGCAATAGTTCAAGTCAAGAGTACAGTCCAGGTGCAATTGAAGATTAAATTCCAAACACTACCTGATTTGAATAAAGGATTTCCACATATCAGACATCCGTCCGACCATAAAAAAAATCCAACCATAAGATTTACTCAGTTTCCTTCCACAGCAACCATTCATTTGTCATCTGTCTGTCCATTCTGCTAGCCTGTACAGTTGTAGTCCTAATACAGATCCCTGCCGAACACTACTTACTACCTCTTGCCAGCCTGAGAAGATGCTCTTAAGTCCTCCGCTTTGCTTTTGTTTTTCTAACCATTCTTTTATCCATTCTGCTACCTCTCTTACGACTACGCATGCCCTGATTTTAGTCAAGACTCTCTCATGTGGCACTTAATCAAAGGTTTTCTGAAAATCCAAATACACAGCATGCATCGCCTTTGTCTATTTTTTGTTTCTTCTTCAAAGAATTTGATACAGTTGGTCAAGCATGACCGTTTGTATATCCATGTTGGCTGCTCCCAATTATATTCTCCTCCAGATGACTAGTTACTTAAGTTTTTATTATGGATTCCAATACCTTTCCCACAAACAATATTTAGGTACGGTCTTGTAATTAACTAAATTCGCTCCAGCATCCTTTTTTAAAAAAAAATTAGGGCTTGTTATTATTAATGAAATAGATTTACTTTTAAAAAGCTCTGAAAAGCTGAAACCAATTGCCATATACACATAGCTTCAAATGTCACAGATTTGCCTGTATTTTGTGCGACAATACATCCATGGATGTAAATTGCTTATTGCTTCAAAATGAACAAAATATGTGTCTTTGCTGCATTCTACGCACAAAAAGATTACACGCAGAGCAACTTTCAGTGTAACAGCTTTAATATGGGTAGATCCCCTGTTCCACTTCTGCTTAGGTTTCAGCAAGCTTTCACAAAAGCACAAAGCTTAGGTAAACGAGCTTTCAAAAGACTCCTATTCACGGTTTAAACGTTGGCTCACCACCCATGATAAAAAAAAAATCCTTGCGCTCTTTTGGAGGCTGGGATCCCTGCAACATTAAGAACCCACAAAGCAATTAAAATCTTGGCACAAAGTAAAGAAAAAAATCATACTATATCCATCATCACTTTGATAGTCATCAAATAATCCTGAACTAACATCCAAATAAGTTTATCGGTTATATCTGAATGTTCATTTTATGACAAAGATAGCTATAATCGTAAGATGCCCTTTACTATAAAGTCAGGTCAAACTTAGAAAAATAACAAACTAAACTAACAAGTAATCACATTTTTACATCTAAGTACATAAATCCAACATATAATGTAGCTCATAAGACTGCATCTGTGCTCTCATTGTTCTGAAGTCGATATTAATTTAGTTAGTTACAAAGTTCTTACATCACCCGTTCTGTGAGTAGTTTGCAGAATACTAATCCAGCATCCAATTAATGTATTTGCACGCAACACAATGAAACATCTCAAAGCACTTCTCTGTAAAGTATAGTGACTTTTTTTGTTAAACGCAGCAGCCAAGTTTAGACAACACAGCACAAAAAGGAACAAAAATGAAGGGAACAACCAATTTTTTTTATCTGGGGAATTGTTTTGAAAAGAGAGCAGAATTTTCTCTTTCTTTTTGGTCATCCAGGTATCTAACAAATGGGGAAACCCATTACAGTGGCTAAGAATATCCAAACTCATGGCATGTAAAGTCCTAACATGGGATTGGAGCCTATCAAAATAAACCCTTCGACTCAGAGGAGCGTTAGCAACTATGCCAAACCTCAGCTCTTCCAGTTCCCAGTCCCCCTTCTTCTCTTGCTGGAAAAGATAAAAGAAACTCCCATCCCATGGTCTTAAGGACTAATCTACAAGGTTACTACAGTTTTCACGATGTAGAATGGAGAGAACAGACATTGCCTGACCTAAAAAAAGTGAATGGATGGTAAGGAAGTGGTCAAAAAGATATTATTGGCTCAATAAAATGTTTGACCAAGGACCTGTCAAATTTAGGCTGCAATGCTTCAATTCACTGAGGTTAGTGATGTATACAAGACATTTGAATAGATTGCCCAGCTAAAGTGTTCGCACAACTGGGAAACAGTTGCTATAAATAGACATCACTAACAACATAGAAACAGAGTTAGTTACCAGCTCAGACAATAAGTATATCAAAAGCATTCTAAAAACATTTGAATGTAAAGATGTCAATATATCCCTGAGTATGTAAACTTGGACATAGAGACGTTCTCAGTACTAAGAACCAAGAGATGAACACTGAATATTGATCCATGATTTACACTGGAATAACTCAAAGAGTGCTTTACTTCAGCAGAGCAGTTGGTATAAATAGGAACAAACTGAATAACAATCCTTGCATTTGATATAGTGCCTTATCATGTCGTTGAGACATCTCAACGTGCTTCACAGAATATATTGTAAAGTAGATTGACCGTATATTGGGGGCGAAACACGGCAGACAGCTAGCTATGTGTCACAAACAGACGGAGTGAGTGAACCAATTTTATTTGAGGGACTGTAAGCTTGGACACCAGGAGAGACTCACTTCTCTTTTTGAATAATGCCATATGATCTTTAACATCAACCTGAGCAAGCAGATAGGCTTAACGTTTCATCCAAAGGATTGGACATAGTAGTGTTAGCCTCATACACTCATTTCCAAATCCATCACATCAAGACTTTGATCTTACAGTCTACTCTAGCACTCCAGTGCAATGCTGGCGGTGTGTGCCACTGTTGCAATGACCAGGAGCAAAGGCATATATGCCAATGGGAAAAAAATACACACGAAGAATAACAATCGTTATATTAAATATAGTGCCTTTCATTTCAAGAGGGTGTCTCAAAGCACTTCACAGGATTTACAATTGAACGTAGTGACTCTTTTGTAGTTTCTGGACTCGGCATCTAATTTGCCTACAGCAATGTCCCACAAATAACCAATTAAAAAAGGCAGAATTTGTTGATAAAATAGAACTCTGAATCGCAAAAATACCTTGCAAGCAAGTCACAGCAAACTGCAGGAACGCTGCACCAACCCAGAGGGAGAAGATCGCATTTTAAACTTCAATGTGAAAGGAAGCACATGAAAGATCTGGGTTAGGCTACCCACCCGCTGAAGTGCTGAGAATGATGTGAAGAATATTCTGATAAATCTAATCTGGTTAAGGACTCTATAACCAGTCCAACAAAACAAATCACAAACACGAAAGATCGGACTCAGGAATCTTGTTGGTCACTCTCTTCTGCCAGAATTACCAGTTAAGATATGAGCCTCTGTTGATCAGAATGAAGCAGACTTTAACTGTAAGGAGCCGACAAGGTCTCTGTACATCTGTGTCTTTTCTGTTGTGATGCAAATCATTACAACATGCTTGGAAGTCTTGCTGTCCAGGCAGATAGAGGCAATTGAATGTGCATTTATCTGACCCCGTGTGTCAAAATAAAGGAAAACCCAAAGCTGTAACTGGTACTTGAACCCTTTCAATAACATATTGAAGATGCTGTTATTTATGGGACCAATCTCAACCAATAAAATCCAGATGGATCCCTTGTTGCCAGTCACAGTGGTACTAAAGTGGAACTCATCCCATTGAGAGATTCAGAACTATTAGATGCCAGTCATTTACTCATGCTGACTGAGACACCTGGCTTCAGGTCCAAGCCAAATCATCTCAGCTGTCTTGAGTCAGTATGAACAGGCCATGTGACAACACTCATAACAATATCACAGTCTTCTTCAAACAGAATCAAATCATGTTGGAGTTGCTCTTAAAAGCCTGGGATGGCATGCATCAGTACCTCAGATATACACTAGGGCATGTCAACAGATCTGAGCTGATGTAAGACATCCTTGCAAAGTTATCTTGGTGGATTACCTGCAGCTGTTAAACTTCTTACAAGTACGATTGATATTACATCTCAAACCAAATGATGCACACGTTCATCCACATCATGCATCACAAGAGGCATTTTGAAGATCTTCTAAATCCCAATATCATGAAACTGTGGCTACCACATACAATCTTTGAACGTTTTTATAAGCATTATGTAAGCTCAAAACTTTAATATTCACTATCAAACACGGGTCAAAACTATGAAAACGCATACAAAAATGGAGATCAGGCTATAACAATCTTTACATATACAACAACAACAAGATTTCATTTATAGAGTGCCTTTCACGTCGGGAGGAAGTTCTCAAGGCACTGGACAGTTGGGTCAGGATAAAGCACCTTAACACATTGTTGAGATGTCTCAATGCGCTTCACAGAAGAGACTGTAAAGTGAATTGTCTGTATATTTTGTGGGCGAAACGCGTCAGCCAATTGCTTACCCAAATCATCTCACTTTGCAAGGCGAGTGCTCTAACCGCTAAGTTACAGGACTTTTTAACCTACCTCTCTTAAACTTAACAACTCTGCCAGTGAATAATCACCAAAAGAATTTTGCTGCAATTTTGAAAAAATGTGCCCAGTATGTAATCTCATTGCACTCTGCCATGCTGATTCAAGCTCCTTAACTAATACTTAACATGTATTTGCAGCACCAGAACATAAATGTCTGCCCAATAGTCAACTTTGATTTTGGTTGCGGTTGTAACCTTTATGGGCTTCAGGAAGTGCTGTCCTCCTACACTTTCAAAGCTTTTGTGGATCATGACTTGACTGACAAAAATCACATTACAGTAATCCACTGAATTGCCAAGAATGCCTGACTAATATTTTAAAAAATGCATAATTTAAATCAAAGATCGCAAAACATTACACCTGAGTACACTGAGCAATTTGTGGAGTCCTGTAGTGTATTGGTTAGCACACTCACCTCACAATCGAGAGAACCCAGGTTCGATTCCCTAATAGGGTGAAACCTTAGGAAAGTTTCCTTACTCCTCGAACCTCTGGTTACCTAGCAGTAAGTAGGGATCTTGGTTGTTAGTCGATTGGCGGATTACTTTTCCAGGGGTAATAATCACTTAAAAAAATATTGTCACTCAATCCACGACTGTTTGTGGGACACTGCTGTGCACAATTGGCTGCCGCATCAATTCACTTTACCCTATATTCTATGAAGCGCTTTGAGATGCAGCGATATGGCGCTATATCAAATGCAAGGATTATTATACCGGTTGGATACTTTTAATTACACTGTTTGAGTTCCTTTCTTGATTATTTAAATATGTACAGGACACAAAAAAACAATGTATATATTACAAGGTCCTTGTCAGCCATGTTACTGCTACATACCAAGGAATGAGCCAGATAATCTAAAGGGAATAACCGTCTCTCACTTTGCAGCTGCATATGTTGACAGAAGTGGCAAAGACTGCACTAGAAGCAGATAACAGCATTTAGGAGAGATAACAGTATTTATTTTTCTGATTGATCGGTTTAACTCAAATTTTGAAATACACCAAAAGGGAGTAACGTTGGAGTTTGATAAGAACGTAAGAATTTGCTGGGTGAAAGAAGAACAAGGTCCATCCAGTTCGCCATCCACCATCCTGGCAGTCGCAAGACACGTCGTGTCCCAAACTATATATTGTATCCCGAGATATTATTTCATAACAGAATAAGAACTTGAGAATTTGCTCAGTGAAAGAAGACCTTAAGGTCTAAGGTCTTTTATTAGGTTACTAGAGAGAAATACCCATTGCAGCTTCACTTGCAAGCAAAGGATCCAATATGGAATGTAGATTGACACCTAAATAGATATTTTGTCTTTATCTATACTCAGCTGGGAGGACTCCCTTTGGGAGGACTCCCTTTGGGAGGACTCCCTTTGGGAGGACTCCCTTTGGGAAGACTCCCTTTGGGAAGACTCCCTTTGGGAAGACTCCCTTTGGGAAGACTCCCTTTGGGAGGACTCACTTTGGGAGGACTCCTATCAAAGCTACACTAACCAAAGGGGTTCGCTGTGTGATCCGGCAGGTCCTCAAGTTATTGCAAGGCAAAAAAAACTGCCATACATTTGTTACAGAATATATTAGTATAGATTTATCTCTCTGGAAAGGCGTGTGCTTTCCTCTGTGACTACTTTGTTGCAGAAACCATGCATACCTCATATTTTGGGGTTTAATTAAAGCATTTTTTTAAATATAGCTCATCAATGATAGGAGATTCCCCCCCAAAAAAATGCCCATGACACACACATGCAAGACCTTTTCGATGAGTTATAAATCATGTCTCTACATCAATCAGTTATTGCGTTATTGGTGGATACACAGACAGACATACAGACACTTTGCCTTTATTAGTATAGATTGGAGCTGAGTCTCAGCTTTCATGGTTATTTAGTTTATAAAATATGGGACATAATGTACATTGGGACATTTGAATTCACTAAATGTACTGAGTAAAATGTAGAGTAGCAGGTACTTGGTCTTTGAGAAATATACATCATGGAAGATTGGTACCAATGCAGTATTATTCTATTCTTTATGTTATTAAAACCCAACACCAATAAACAAAAAATAAAACATTGTGTTTACACAGAGGATAACTAACAATTGAATTGGTTACTAGGAAGGTTGGTGAAGCCAAGGAGGCTTTAATGTTATAATGGGTTAGTATTCTAGTGGATGAGATCAAAACGCCAAAAGGCCTTCTTTGTCTGAAGCTGCAGCGCTCTGAGACACAATGCTATGTTGAAGGGCGCTACTTAAATGCAAGCTGCTGATGATCTTCTGATTTAAACGCCCTCCTGACACTAAATAAATGCAATTTGTTGTTAAAATCTGATACTGCAATATTTGTAACACATTTGGCATCTCTGCAGGACTCGGTAATTTTTTTTCGGTCCAGCATAAGTTTGCAATCAAAACTGTACAATTCACAGCATAAAATAACTGCTTTATGAGGAATTGATTTGAACACGTGGACAAAACTAGAGAAAAAAAATGGGGCTGAGATGCCATCATCAAACGTGCTTCAATGACCCGTTATACTTAAGGAGATGACAGTGGTATGTGTGCGCGAGCGAGCGATGTGGGAGGAAGTCAGCTGAAACAAAAATGCAAAATAACCAAGCTTTCTGGTTATTCAGCCACATTATCAGCTGAGATCTCTCTCCACCTCCTCCCACAAATTCAGAAACTACTCTCCTACACTTCAAGTGCAGTGAAACTTACATAACAGTCTTTTCAAACCAATTTCAGGATCACTCTCCCCCCCACCCCCACCTCTGCAGAATAATTTTCCTCATCTAAAGCCACCTCTAATCCCTGGGGAGTACTCTTCCCTTTCAGGCTAAACCGACACGGATCATTTATTCGCCCACAAATATACAGTCAATTCACTTTACAGTCTATTCTGTGAAGCGCTTTGAGACGTCTCGAAGAGGTGAAAAGCGCTATATCAAAATGCAAGGATTATTAGGATTAGTATTATTATATTTTTCTTTCCTTCCCCCCCCCCACCCCAAAAATAATATGAATGGGTGTACCCCTCACATTGTCGAGAGAGAGAGAGAGAGACCACTCTCCTCGTCCACAAATCCCTCTCTTTTCTCCCTCCTCCCTCTGTACAAACGGAGAGAGGGAATGGAGGAAGGGGGGGGGGGGAGAGAGGGAAGGGGGGGAGGGAGAGAGGGAAGGGGGGGAGGAGAGAGGGAGGGGGGGAGAGAGAGAGGGAGGGGGAGAGAGAGAGGGAGGGGGAGAGGGAGGGGGAGAGAGGGAAGGGGGGGTAGAGAGGGAAGGGGGGGGAGAGAGGGAAGGGGGGAGGGAGGGAGGGAGAGAGGGGGAGGGAGAGGGGGGGGAGGGGGGGGGTAGAGAGAGAGGGGGGGGTAGAGAGGGAGGGAGGGGGGGGCTGTGGTAGAGAGGGAGAGGGGGGGGAGGGATTGGAGAAGAGACAAAAGAGCAGGCGGCCCGGGCTCGGCGCGGCCTACATCCCGAGTGGCCCCATATAATGGAGAGCAACTGATGGCGGCTCTGCCCCCACTTCTCTCCCCCTCTCCCTTTTCCTTATCGGTATTCGCTATTACCGTCGGGTAATAGTAAGTTATTATTGTGGTGGGTGTGTGGGGGAGGGGGCGCGGGGGGGGGGATATATATATATATATATTTATAGCGGGACAGACAGACAGACAGACAGACAGACCGGCCGGGCGGGCGGGCGGGAGGGTATAAACCCTGTGAGGCGCTGTGTGAGCGAACGCGATCGTTATTATTAATAACATTATTATTATCTGATGATGATGATGATGATGAAAGGTGGCGGTGGTGGCGCCGCCATTGGAGTGTGAGGGTGGGGTGTGGGGGGTGTCGGGGTGGGGGGGGTGGGGGGGGCCGCGGGCTCTCACCTGCCGCTGTGGCTGTGGCCGAGGCTGAGGCTGTCCCTGAGGCTGTGGCAGTTGGTCTCTCGCGCCGCCGCCGCCGCCGCTGTTGTTGTTGTTGTTTTTGCTCCGACTGAAACCGTCTGGACACATCCGGGACACACGCACCGCACAAACCCGCGCCCCGCCCCGCCCGCCCGCGCGTCACTTCCGCTTCCTCCTCCCCCCCCTTTTGTGACGTCGCCGTGACGCGGCGCCGCGATCTTTCAGATGGTGAGACAGAGGGAGTGGGGGGGAGAGAGGGGGAGGAGAGAGGTGGGGGGAGGGGAGTGGGGACAGGGAGAGTGGGGGGGGCAGAGAGTGGGGGGGGAGTGGGGGACAGGGAGTGGGGGGGGGCAAGAGTGGGGGGGGAGTGGGGGACAGGGAGTGGGGGGGGCAAAGAGTGGGGGGGGGGGAGTGGGGGACAGGGAGTGGGGGACAGAGGGAATGGGGGATGGGGGGGACAGAGGGTGGGGAGAGGGGGGGACCTGGAGGGGGGAGAGAGAGAGTGGGGGAGAGGGGGGGACAGTGAGTGGGGGACAGAGGGAATGGGGGGCAGAGGGGATGGGGGGGCAGAGGGGTGGGGAGAGGGGGGGATGGGGGAGAGGGTGGAACAGAGGGAATGGGGGATGGGGGGGGGGACAGAGGGGGGAGAGAGGGAGTGGGGGATGGGGGAGAGGGGGGGACCTGGAGGGGGGAGAGAGAGAGTGGGGGAGAGGGGGGACAGGGAGATGGGAGAGATAGCTTAAGAAGGACCAGCGCCATCCCCTCACCACACTGCCATCAACCCCCCCCCCCCTCGCTCCCCACGCCAAGCCCCATGGCCGCCGCTGCCCCGCACCCTGACACCCCACAGCCCCCCCGCCATCCGCTATCAGCCAGTGAGGGAGTCGATCTAATCAGTTTGTTGAAGACTGGGACAAAAGGTGTCGCCAGAAAAGACCATCTTATTCCGTTTAGCTCCAAATAATAGTCATGTTACCCAATAACGGGGGAACAAAGTTATTTGTACATTGAAGAATAAAAGCTCAAACAAAAGCCGACGTCGCTGGGGCCACTCAGCAGGTCAGGCAGCATCTATGGAGAAAGTGAGTCATTCTCTCCGTTAGATGCTGACACACTTTTTCCGTAGATGCTGCCTGACCTGCTGAGCGTTCCCGGATTTCCAGCATCTGCAGTGTTTCGCGTTAAGGTTAACAGCTCATTTGCTTTACAGGCAAAACGCATATAACATGATCGCTGGTCACTCAACCCGCGGCTGTTTGTGGGGACGCTGCTGTTCGTGGGGACCCTGCTGGGCGCGATCGGCTGCCGCATTTCGCCCACAAAATATACAGTCAATTCACTTCACAGTCTACCCTGTGAAGCGCTTTGAGACATCTCGGAGACGTGATAAGGCACTGTATGGATATCTCCAGGCAGGACAGTATAAACCGAGTGGTGGAACAGGGGGACATAGGTAACAGGAGCAATGCAGGCTCAAGTGGTCATAAGAGGATACGATGTTGTAGCAGTAACAGAGACTTGGCTCAAGCAAGGACAGGAATGGGAGCTGAATATTCCTGTCTATAATGTATTCAGGAGGGATAGGGAAGGAAAAAAAGGAAGGGTGTGGCAATGTTAGTCAAAGATACGGTTATAGCCGTGGGAAGGGTCGAGGTGCTGAAGGGCCCCAAAACGGAATTATCTGGTTAGAGTTCAGGAACAAAAAAGGAGCTGTTACGCTGGTAGGGGTATACTATAGACCACCAAATAGTGGGAAGGAAATAGATGAGCAGATCTGCAAGCAGATCTCAGACAGATGCAAGGCCAATAGAGTCGTGATAATGGGGGACTTTAATTATCCCAACATTGACTGGCAAAACAACAGCGCAAAGGGCAAGGAGGGGGAATATTCCTAAAATGCATACAGGACACCTTTCTTGATCAGTAGGTTTCCAGCCCAACAAGGAAGGAAGCAGTGCTGGATCTAGTTCTGGGGAATGAAGTAGGGTAAAATGGAGCAGGTTTCAGTGGGAGAGCATCTGGGCAATAGTGATCATAACATCATTAGATTCAGAGTACATATGGAAAGAGACAAGGAACCATCTAAGGTGAAGATACTCAACTGGAAGAGTGCAAATTTCAGTGAGTTAAAAAGGGACCGAGACAAGGTGGACTGGAAAGAAAGATTGGCAGGTAAAACAACTAAAGAGCAGTGGGAAGTCTTCAAGGATGAGATAGCACAGGGACAGAATAAATACATTCCCACAACGGAAAAGTAGGGCTTCCAAACCTCCCTGGATGACAAAGGTAATTGTATCTGGAATGAAGCAGAAAAAGGAGGCGTATGACAAATGTCAAACCCAAGATACAGAAGACAACCAAATAGAATATAGGAAGTGCAGAAGAGGTTTGAAAAAGGAAATAAGAGGGGCAAAAAGATTATACGAAAAAAGGTTAGTGGGTAACATTAAAGGGAATTCTAAAATATTTTACAAGCAAATCAAGAAAAAAAGGCTAGTCAAAGGTAGGGTGGGGCCAAATAAGGTCCAAGGGGGAAATCATATTGTGGAGGCAGAGGTCATGGCTGATGTGCTGAATGAGTATTTTGCCAATGTGACTCCCCTGTACAAAAAGGGACAGAAGGACAAACCTGGGACCTCCAGGCCAGTCAGCCTAACATCAGTAGTGGGGAAGCTCCTGGAGACTATAATCCGGGACAGAATAAATTTTCACTTAAAAGAATATGGGTTAATTAGGGACAGCCAACACGGATTTGTTAAAGGAAATGTCTAACAAATCTAATAGAATTTTCCGATGAGGTGACGGAGAGGGTGGATAAAGGTAGTGCAGTTGATGTGGTTTATATGGACTTTCAAAAGGCATTTGACAAAGTGCCACATAACAACAACAACAACAAAATTACACTTGTATAGTGCCTTTCTCGTCGGGAGGACATCCCAACATAGGTAACAGAAATTCTTCAACTCAACTCAATTGCAGTTCTGCAAGTCTTTTCCAGACTGACTCACAAGCATAAGCAACCGTCGCCTAATCAAAATATTTATAATCAAGATTGTCCTTGTTCAGGTCAGGGTGACACTAGCCAACATGCAGAAGTTTTCCCAGCTTAACTGAAACAACATTTGAAACAACTCACTTCAGATCAGAACACCAACCCCTCACCCTGCCCTCACCCCATCTCCTGCTTATCCCACTCTATCTCAACGTCTCCTGCCTCGTCTCCCAGCATGAATCCTGGTACATCTTGCTTCCTCCGCAGCACACTCAAACTGTAACTCACCGATCAGTTAGCTCATGCACATTCAAACACTGAGGGGGTCGGGACTGAGCAAGACTGGAAGAAATCCTGCTACCATGGGAGAGATCGAGGTAGTGGGGAAGGTAGTGTGGCTGGCACTAGAGAATGTGATGGGCTGGCACTGGGGAAGAGGAAGCTAGTCCTGGGATAGGGTCTGGAAACATTGATTGATTGCATTGAGCTTTAAGGATGAATTAGGGATCAAACAATAGGTGAGACCTCGTCGCCGGTCTCCCATCCACTGCCATCCATAAAATCCAACTCATTCAGAACTCTGCCGCCCACATTCTCTCCCGCACGAGACTCCGCTCCCCGATCACCCCAGTCCTTGCCAGACTGCACTAGCTGCCTACCCTCACCCTCGTATTCAAATCCCTCCACTCCTCTGTACCCCCCAACCTCTCTGACCTCCTCTCTCCTCAAACCAGCCCCCGTTGCCTTCGTTCCTCCGGGTCTGGCATCCTTCTCGTCCCCCGAGTCCTCCGCTCCACCCTCAGCGGCCGTGCCTTCAGCCACTACGCCCCGAGGCTCTGGAACTGCCTTCCTCACTCTCTTCGTCTCGCTCCCTCCCTTCTCAGTTTCAGGTCTCTGCTGAAGGTTAGAGCACTCTCTTTGCAAGTGAGAGACCTGAGTTCAATTCCAGGGAGGGCGAAACCTTGGGCAAGTTTCCTTAATAATAATAATAATCCTTGCATTTGATATAGCGCTTTTCACATCGGGAGGATGTCCCAAAGTGCTTCACAGAACACACTAACGTGAATTGACTGTATATTTGTGGGCGAACGCGGCAGCCAATTGCGCACAGCAATGTCCCACAAACAGTCGTAGATTGAAAATGACCAATTTATTATTGTTTTGGGTTTTGGAGGATTATTGGTGTGTGGAGTAAGGAAACTTGCCCAAGGTTTCGCCCTCTGCCTGGGATTGAACCCAGGTCTCTCGCTTGCAAAGCGAGTGCTCTAACCACTGAGATACAGGATTCCACACGCTTAATAATAATCCCTCCAAAACCAAAAACAATAATAATTTGGCCATTTTCAATCTACGACTGCTTGTGGGACATTGCTGTGCGCAATTGGCTGCCGCGTTCGCCCACAAATATACAGTCAATTCACTTTACAGTGTGTTCTGTGAAGCGCTTTGGGACGTCCTCCCGACGTGAAAAGCGCTATATCAAATGCAAGGATTATTATTATTCCGTGAAGCGCTTTGGGACGTCGAGAAGATGTGAAAAGCGCTATATCAAATGCAAGGATTATTAGTATTATTAAGACCTTTCGCTTTGGGAAGTAATTTACTGCAATTACGACACCATGGTAACCTTACTGAGACAACACCAGATACCTCATTCAGGATAAATACAGCATTAATTTAGCAGCTCAAATTGAGGCAGAATTGGCTTAATGGAGGACATGTTTATTTGCAGCAGTCCAGAACATCAAGGTGACTGACATTGTGATTGCCCTGTACAGGTTCCCTCAACATCCTTCATATCACAATAATAATCCTGGCGTTTGATACAGTGCCTCATCACGTCTTCGAGACGTCTCAAAGCGTTTCATAAGATACACTGTAAAGTGAATTGACTGTGTATTTTGTGGGCGAAACATTGGTGATGATGAGACTGAGGCTTGGGATGAAAGCTGCTGAAAGGAATGACCAAGAGACTGGGAATTACCTGCAGCTGACACACTCCCTACTGGTGGAACCATTGCTTAACCCATAAGCCCTGACTCAGATGTGGGTGTGGAAGCCGGAGATGGTAATACTCTTACCTTTGAGTCAGAGGTTGTAGGTTCAAGCCTCACATCAGGATTTTGAGCTTCAAACCTAGGCTGACTCTCCAGAGCGCTGATGGCTTCAGGTTGGGATCTAGGAA